TATATATATATATATATATATATATATATATATATATATATCATACACATACACCAGCTCTCATCTTTCAGAGGTCGCGGCTTAGGGTTTTAGGGTCTATATTCTAGCACAACCAATGCCATCGCCTACATACCCCGTCCGTGGGTTCGTAGTCGTAGTCGTCACTATCAGAGCCATCGCTTTCCGTGCAACTACCGATGTCAACTAGCGCCATCTTCGCACACGGTCCTCCAGGATACTCGTACACGCCCTCGTCATCATCGGAATCTGATGTGATTGGCGGGTGTATATGGAGTTTGTATTGGTATAGGGGTTTTGAGATATTCAGCAAAGACATCTATACAGTTATTAGGCTTCCCTTGGGGTTTCAGATCCTACCCAAACCCAGCACATCACTTAGGGCTCTGCTCGTGATTGGGCTGTGGTGCTACATACAGCAACCTGATACATAAGCTCTACAGTGACATCTGTCGCAATAATCTGTATAACCTCAACTCAACTCACCCACAAAAGAGTATACAACAAACAGTCACGTACGAACTAAGAGAACGAATAGAACTCAAGATGATCTCAACTCAACTCATCCGCACAAGAGTATACAACAAACAGACACGCACGAACTAAGAGAACGAATGAACTCAAGATGATCTCAGCTCAACTCATCCGCAAAAGAGTATACAACAAACAGGCACGTACGAACTAAGAAAACAAATGGAACTCAACATGATCTCAACTCAACTCATCCGCAAAAGAGTTTACAACAAACAGGCACGTACGAACTAAGAGAACGAATGAAATCAACATGATCTCAACTCAACTCGTCCGCAAAAGAGTATACAACAAACAGACACGTACGAACTAAGCGAACGAAAGGAACTCAACATGATCTCAACTCAACTCATCCGCAAAAGAGTATACAACAAACAGACACGTACGAACTAAGATAACGAATGGAATTCAACATGATCTCAACTCAATCAACCCACAAGGGATGCATAAATCTTGAGTATGACTTTTTGTATACCTTCCGAGCATCTCTTTGGGTTTCCAGCCCCTATAGAGACTCCGCACTCTCGCTTATCTATTTGTTCGTGATCTGGCTTTGTTTCTACCTACAATAAACAGACACGTACGAACTACAGAGATACTATACTGGTTGCAACTCGGTGTACTTCCCACTCTCTTCACCCACAAATGACGCATGAACCTTGAATACGATTTTCTGCATACCTTCGAGCATCTCCTTGGGTTTCCAAACCCTACCCAGCCCCAGCACGCCCACTATGTCTTTGCTTGTGATTTGGCTGTGTCTCCTATCCACCGGGCCTCCGTACTGTTGTGCAGACCCAACAGATAGCAACGAAACCCTGAGTGCGAGAAAACATATTGTATGAGCAAAAGGCACAGTACATAGGTGGCTTGAAAACAGATTGTAACGAATCCCTGAGTGCGAGAAAAAGTATTATATGAGAAAAAGGCACAGTTCATGGGTGGCTTGAATACAGGTTTACTAGATATTGTACTACACAGATAAGTATCGAACCCCTGAGTGCGAGAAAACGTATTGTATGAGAAAAAGGCACAGTACATGGGTGGCTTGAATACAGGTCTACTACATATTGTACTACAAAGATAGTAACAAAACCCCCCCTGAGTGTGAGAAATCGTATTGTATGAGGATTAAAGCACAATACATGGGTGTCTTGAATACAGGATTACTACATATTGTACTACACAGATAGTAGCAAATACCCCCCCTGAGTGTGAGAAAACGTATTGTATGAGGATAAAAGCACAGTACATGGGTGGCTTGAATACAGGTTTACTAAATATTGTACTACACAGATATTAACGAATCCCTCCTGAGTGCGAGAAATGATAAGAAAAGTAAATACACGTTTTCCAGATAATGCACTACACAGGTAGCAACGAATCTCAGAAACCGTATTGTGTATGTATGCTTTGGTTCAGGTGTTCTGTATTTCTTACTGGACAGCCTGTAACAATCCCCGCTTAAGTGTCAGAAAACGTATTGTGCCCTCAGCATGTATTTAAAGCCATACCTAACGCGTATACTACCTGGCTAACGCGTAAATACCTGGCTAACGCACATGATACCTGGCTAACGCATATAATACCTGACTAACGCGTACATATAATACCTGGCTAACGCGTACATATAATACCTGGCTAACGCGTACATATAATACCTGGCTAACGCATATAATACCTGGATAACGCGTACATATAATACCTGGCTAACGCGTACATATAATACCTGGCTAACGCGTACATTTAATACCTGGCTAACGCGTTCATATAATACCTGGCTAACGCGTACATATAATACCTGGGTGCACCCGAGCTGCCCTCGCCTTCCGAGGAGAAGTCGTCGTCGTCCTGCGCTTCCTTTGGTAGCACTGTGAGGATGGTGTTGGCAGTCACCGTCTCACCATCGCTGACCCGTACGCCTGGGCCTATCACCACACCCGCTTGTATCGTAACTTGGTTGCCTGATTTTGTGGGTTGCAATATATGAATGATAAGTATGAGACTCTACTCTTGGGTTAAAGGCTTGTATCGTGACTTGGTTGCCTGATATTGTGGGTTACAATATATGAATGATAAGTATGAGACTGTACTGTTGAGTTAAAGGCTTGTATCGTAACTTGGTTGCCTGTTGTTGTGGGTTACAATAGAAAACGTACTCACCCATAGAAAATGTACTCAATCTCCTTATACGTACTCAACCAGAAAATACGAGACTATATTAATATCCCGTGACTAGTGATACACGCACAGACATCCACAGCACGGCCCCACTGCAGATCACCGCACTATCAATCCTACACGAGAAAACGTACTCACCCATAGGAAACGTACTCAATCTCTTTATACGTACTCAATCAGATAATACGAGAATATATTACGTACTCAATTAGATAATATGAGCATATATTAATATCCCGTGGCTAGAGATACACGCACAGACATACCCAGCACATCCCCACTGCAGATCACCGCACTATCAATCCTACACGAGAAAACGTACTTACCCATAGGAAAATTACTCAATCCTCTTATACGTACTCAATCAGATAATACGAGACTATATTAATATCCCGTGACTAGTGATACAAGCACAGACATCCCCAGCACAGCCCCACTGCAGATCCCCGCACTATCAATCCTACACGAGAAAACGTACTCACCCATAGGAAACGTACTCAATCTCATTATACGCACTCAACCAGATAATACGAGAATATATTACGTACTCAATCACATAATACGAGCATATATTAATATACTGTGGCTAGTGATACACGCACAGACATACCCAGCACAGCCCCACTGCAGATCACCGCACTATCAATCCTACACGAGCCACCGACGTGCACGTTATTCCACACAAACGCATTGGTGAGGACACTCTTAGGCCCAATACTGCAATTAGTACCAATCACCGTACGGTCCATGCGACACTCCGTGGCTATGTTTGACTGTGAGCCTGTGATCGGGTGTGTAGGTAGATATACGTGGGTTAATTCAATAGGAAGCAATAGTCAGGAGTGTAGGTAGATATGCATGGGTTAATTCAATAGGAAGAAATAGTCAGGAGTGTAGGTAGATATACATGGGTTAATTCAATAGGAAGCAATAGGAAGCAGTGTAGGTAGGTATGCATGGGTTGCTTCAATAGTAAGAAAAAGTCAAGAGTGTAGAGACATATACATGGATTAAAAATAGGAAGAAAGAGTCTGGGTTGGTTGCGGTGTTTTGCTAGTCATTGTTGTTGCTGCTATTTTTGCACGGTCTCTCTCTCTCTCTGCAAATTTACCAATGTACTGTCGGATTCCACTTGGTTTATAACCAACAACACAAACCTAGTTTACCACGCTAAAAGCATACACCCG